TTTCGGCTTCGGTTTCGGCCGAAATTCATTTTTAATATTCGGCCTTTTTTCGGTTTCGGCCGAAAGTCATTTTTAAACCTTCGGCCTTTTTTCGGTTTCGGCCGAAAGTCATTTTAAACTTTCGGCCTATTTTCGGCTTCGGCCGAAATCAGAAAATCACTTTCGGTCGGTCTCTACCGTGAAATATATATATACATATATATATATATATATATATGCGGAAATTCCGTTAGAGATTAATAATAGGAATCGATGTGAATATCAGTTTTTCTAGCTCCTCTCATGGATACGTTGAAATTAAAATGCGATTCAAAATCCGCGTGTTCTATTGATACCTTAGATTCGACGTCATAGTTTGTTTACGTTTAGGGATTGGACCATTTAAAAAAAAAATGGTATTTGCCATTACCACCGAATTTGACACATACTGTACACCATTGGTTCCCAAATGGTGGTCCGCGGACCGGCACCGGTCTGTGAGTCTTACGGTGCCATTCCGCACAATATGTATATTTATTTAAAAAATACAAAGATAATAGAATTAATAAATCTGGCACCGGTCCCTGGTGTAATTTCGATAATGTTCCACTGGTCTGCAAAGCTTAAAATTTGGGAAACGCTGATATATTGTACCAGACCAGCTGGCTAAGTAGGATCGGGTGCAAACGTTTAGTTTGATGTTATCTACAGTTAATTACAAAGTTCTTTTGCCAGGGTCTCTAAAAAAAGACAACCACGGCCTCCTCGGGACACCTCTGCGTAAGATGAACTTATACACACGTGACACTAATCAAGTTTACTCGACCTGTATTTTTAGTCTGATATATTTCAAAGCATAATTAAAAAAAAAAAAAAAAAAATTATGTCTGGAAAATAACATTTAACTCTCGTCATAAATTGCACGCAGAGGTTAGTTCACTTTCTGTGCCGCCGTTTCATCGATTCTTCACTAGGTACTCATGCTGGGCATGCAGACAGTATGCACAAACACTCACATGATTCATTCGGTTGAGCCACCTCGCCTTATGAGAAGACCTGACCGACCCAGGATCGAAGGGTTAAATTTACAAAGTTTGATTGGCATTATTAACTATCGGTAATCTGACAAGTGAGGCCAAATACACATACCTAGAAAATGGCAAACTAAAAAAAAATATTCAATTTTTTTTTTTTAGAATATAAAATAATTTTATTTCATACATCACATATTTCGGTTAGTAAGCAATAATAATTTGTCAATTTAAAAATAAAATAATAATGAAGCGGCATATGAGTTATTAATGGGTTCATAACATGACGTGCCCTGCAGTAACATGATAAATAGAATTTTGTAAAGCCTTCTACTGGCCTCTTATAAATAATCAAACTAACAATACAAGTTATGTATATGGATTGTTTCAAATACATTTGTTGTTTGGTATTTTTAACAGTTGTTTCCGCAAGTTCATAAGGCAAATTTTTTCTAGGATCCACATTAAGTAACATTGCTAACACGTATAAACATTAAATAACCATTGCAGAAAAAGGAATGTGTATATATATATATATATATATATATATATATATATGCTGACAGTATTATATTATATATAAAGTAAAACTAATGAGCTGCGTATATCTAAGGAATAACCCAAAATATTGAAAGCAATGCCCCTGTTGGATTGAAAGATACAGATGGTGTATTGTAAATATGTAAGAAATTTCAACAATGGAATAATATGCTGCACATTCTAGCCAAAAGAAAATGTGTATTTTGAATGATGAGAACTTCAGTGGGTATCAACTATACTGAGAAGTAGCATGAAAGAAAACCAAGAACAACGTGAGGTTTAAAATTCTAGAATTCATTAAAATAAATCGGTGCGAGGAAGTTGGCTCAGTTTAGACCACTCGGCCACCCAAACATGGCATAATGAAAGCAATAATAGCCTAGTCCAGCAGGGACATAGCTAGAGTGCTTGGCGCCCGGGGACAAGATTCGCACCCGGGGACAAGATTCATTTTAAAGCGCCTCCATTGCTTTGTTCAACTCTCAAACCCATTGTTTTCATTAATAATATTAAAAGCACATTTCGGCGCCCCTAACTAGCTGGCGCACAGGGACATCTGCCCCCCCTGCTCCCCTTCGCTACGCCTCTGTAGGCTAGTGCATAATGATGATGATGATTGAGTACTTTTATAGCGCTTGTGTACCTGCACACCTCAGACAAACATAAGGAAGGTGGTACCTGCCGCTCACATTCGTCATCATTGTAACAAAAAAAAGTTATTTGGCTAATAAAGATTTCAACATTAAAACAGGTGAATATTTACAAGACACCAAGATTTTGTGCTTAAAACACAATGCTATAACCAACTAAAATGTGTACTAGTTCAATGACAATGAAAGTATCTTCTAATCTTTTTTTTAAATATGTTTAGTTACCTACCCGCCCCCCCCCCCCAATAACCCACAGTCACAATTAACATCACGGGACTTTTTAAAAATTATCCATGACAAGTGACATATCCGAACAGACAAGTGACATATTCGAAGAGACAAGTGACATATTCGAACAGACAAGTGACATATTCGAACAGACAAGTGACATATTCCAACAGACAAGTGCCATATCTTCTTCTTCTATATCTTAAGGGCCCACGATCAATTTATTGATCATTTTGGCTCCTATGCATGTAGATGGGATTTGCAATGTTTCTGTTACTGGTGGTGATGAGGAAATTATGCACTAGGGGTTTGAAGGCTTGAGGCAATAGACACATATTCGAACAGACAAGTGACATGTTCCAACAGACAAGTGACATATTCCAACAGACAAGTGACATATTCCAACAGACAAGTGACATATTCTAACAGACAGTCAAGTGTTGTAAATTCTTACAACTGTTATTTTTCCCCTCTGTGCCATTCACTTTCGTCTATAGTTCGTTTCACTTTTTCCACAATTTGAAGGCTATAGATATTCTATCATTGATATCTCAATTTTAATGTATTGACATATTGAATACACTGTTGGAATTTTTGCAATAAAATTTCAAGATAAGAAGAGACCTTTAATTTTTTTATTTTTTTTTTAAAATAAGCTTAAAATTGTATGACAAAATGTCAACGTTATTATTATCATTATTATTATTATTATTGTTATATTGGATGTTGTTCCATTCATACACATGGCAGAGGGGATTAGGGGTAGAGGTGAAGAGCATTAAAAAAAGTTGTTGGGCTGAACTAGCAAAGATATCGAAGGACAAGGACGGATAGAAAATTCTAGTGGCTGGCCTATGCTCCATTTGGAGTGAGAAAGGCTAAGTAGAAGAAGAAAAAGAAGACTACTCATTTCGATTAAAATCATAACTCTTGTTTTTGACTCAATTTTAAAAAAAAATGAATGCAACAAAATTTACATTCTAAAGCTGTCGCATAACGTCATTTTGACAACTGGAGACATGTTTAAGCCCACACTACCGTACTTTTCAATGACATGATTTTTGTTCTGTGACAGTCGTAACTAGTCGTAATTAATATCGAAGTGAGTAGGACAAACACTCCAATGGAAACGGACAAATAATGAGAGCGACGACGCTGCTGGCTAAGACACAGGACATCCACCCTTGTCAGCAACTTCTTATGTTTATGACGCACATGTTAAAACTCGCTAAATTATTTTTTTACGCTTATGTATTCCCCAACCCCTGTAAAATTCTTTTTATCAATTTTCATGTGTTGAAATCTCTCTCAGTGATAACAGAGACCTTGATCTTTCTTCGTGTGAGAGACTGCGCTGCATTCGTCTATCAATGGGTGGCGTCATATGATCTGAGGAAATGGAAATGTAATAATTTGTTTAAACATACAATTTTATTTTGAAATGGATTGCCAACGATACTTAAAAACAGGAATTCATTTTTTTCTTATTTTTACATACACTTACGATAAACATTCATTTTATGTTTAGAAACATCTGCCAGTCACTGTGCACTGTGAACACGAAGGTTGTCTTCAAAAATGTTACATCGCCATATACCCCCCCCCCATCTTGATTTCAAAAAAAATATGCAAACCACCCCGCCTGGATCAAAAGTATTGTAATATATATCTGTGTTTGTGTTTGTTTGTGTGTGTGTTTGTGTGTTTGTGTGTATGTATGTGTAAGCATATTTGTTTATGATAGTTTCCCTCGTTTAATTAAAGTGCCAGAAACCATACAAGAAATGCCCCTGTAGCTAAGATGCAAACAAAATTCACCACAAAAGTATCTGCTGCTGCTGCTGCTAATAAAAATGCAAATACTTTTGATTTTTCCTGGGCTTTGTGCCCTGGCTTTGCCTCCCTCCCCTACCTTACCCAAGAAGGGGCCCCCACCCAAGAAGGGGTGGGGCGGACACGCCTGGTCAACAATGATACGCCGATGTATGCAATTATAATGTAGGCAATTATAATGGATTTATTTATTTTTTTACAAAAGGCGCATTAGCACCATCTCAATTGAGCTTACCATTAGTACCGACTTCTTGTTCGTTCTTTTCCGTTTTGGTCTTGTTCGAGAAGTTGTCCTGCAAACATATCACTGCTAACAAACCGGCACATAAGATGGCGGTTATTATAAAGGCTACCATCCAACCGTCAACTGTATCTTGATTAGGGAAACAATGAGGGGACAAAATAATAATAATTCACCACATTTTTTTGTATGCACTTTAGATTAGTTATTATTATTTGTCCCATAATAAAAATAATACTCTTTTTCTGTCTATATTTCTTTTTTTTAATTATGTTTTTAATTATTCTTTAAAATTTATTTTAAAAAAAAAAAATGTCATTTTTATTGATCGTTTTTGTCCAAATGCACTTACCATTAATCACGAGTAACTGTGAAGGTTCAAATCGTGCATTGCATGCAAATCTACACGTGCTGCGGGGCATGCGGGTCGTGTTGGTCCGACCCAAGGTCTGACACCAGCTCAGTAGGTCGTTTTCACCGATGTCGTCTGGAAAACAGGAGACGCACCTCCCATCCTGGCCGAACTCGTCATCCCTGCAGCAAATTCCTGGCGGCCAATAATTTGGTCTGTCATCTGGACAGGACAGTTCTTGGATTGGTTTGTGTGTTGTTACGTCAGAGACTAGAGAGGAATTATTTATTACTTGTGTTTAATTTATCGTCTTGGCAACTCCATATTCTTTCAAAAATAAAGGGGTTATTCTACTTGATAGTTTGTAGCAATTAGCTGACTATTGTGGGGTTTTTTTTTTTTGTGTTCATAAAATAAATTCTAAAAAATTTTTTGTTAAAGCTGTAATTTGTAATCCTACTAAGAGAAGTTTAGCTTGAATTATTATTTTTTTTTTTATCTTTCAAAAATAAAGGGGTTATTCTACTTGATAGTTTGTAGCAATTAGCTGACTATTGTGGGGTTTTTTTTTTTTTGTGTTCATAAAATAAATTCTAAAAAATTTTTTGTTAAAGCTGTAATTTGTAATCCTACTAAGAGAAGTTTAGCTTGAATTATTATTTTTTTTTTTAAATGTTAAAAAGCATTCGTACAACACATGTTTACAGTAGCACAAACCAGCACAAGGCTTTTGGCCGCTGAGAACAGAGGAGTTGAATTTCGCTTGACAGGCGAGAGAGCAAGAGTCGTGTCGCATGAGCTTCACGTCGTGCTGTCCGTACTTGATGCACCAACTCAGGCGGTCCTCTTCCTTGACGTCCACCGGGAAGCAGGTCTCGCACGTTCCCGAGTGGCAGAACTCGTGAGCCGCGCAGCACCTGCCATACGGCAAGCATATGTACGGATTTTTACTTGGGCATTGTAAGTCCTTCAAATCTGATAAGGTTGGCTCAGAACCTAGTGCGGTTGGGGAAAAACAGTAAACAAGATCTCGTCATTACAAGCAGGGGCGTCATGTCGGGGTTTTTTCAGGAGGGGGAGGGGGTTAGGCAATACCAAAAATTGGTCGCCTTGTTAAGTTGTTTATTACTGGAGACGCCACCGTACATAGCAATTTAAATAAAACCTACACATTCGTGTGGGTGGGGGGGGACGAATTCCCCACCCAGCCCTACCCAAATGACGTCCCTGGTTACAATTGTAGATCTATTGCATAAAATTCTATTACTCATGAAATCTATGGCATTGATAAAAGAGGGGTAAATCAGCAACATGTTATTTCATCATGCAGACTAAAGAAGAAAAAGTAAATATAAGTATCCTGCAGTCCTTAAATAAAATAGTTCATTAGTTCAAATGGCTTGGTCTATACTATTAATTGATAAAAGAAGTGTATAATTGGTAGAGTGTAGGACAGTGGCATTCCGCCAAGGGTTGCACTTTTTATGTCGCGCTATTTAAATTTCAGAAGGAACGTGTTACGCACTGGCTTCTAATATGAGAAATTAATCTCCTATTTTAATTGGTTCGTTGTAAAGAGTGCCTAACAAAGGACGATACCATAGAGTCAACAATAATAAAGATACGACACCCAAAACATTTTCTAGCTACAATTAATAAGGTTTATTAAGTCTTAATATAATTACAAAAGAAAAGAAAATATAATGACAATCTTCAACTTACAGTATGGTAGATCCTGTACCGGTACACAGTTAACACAGTTCGTATAATATGCCAATTCAATAATGATTAAATGCGAAATAAACACATATATAAGAACACAAAGAATAATACACGTCTCGAGAAGTTAATAAAACCTATCTGAATCTCCGTCTCTCCGTCCGTGCCTGTCAATCCCTCATATAGGTCACGTAAGCCCTGCCTTCCAGAAAAGACTTATGACGATTTGTTTACATTTCTCGGGTTATCAAGCACATTCGAGAAAATACCACGAAGACAGTCTAACATGTTTCATTGGTAAACACGGTTGTAAACAAGATACATCAAACGAATAGTCCGCGCCCACAAGAGACTTTACTGTCTGCGAGGATTCTAATTTAGGTCAAGTAAAGTTCATGCACGGAAAAAGTGTGCTACATAACAAACGTCAAGCCAATATTATTTATTCATAGATTATTATAATAATGCTTAAAGAATAGCCTGCAAAACAATGGTGGCGGCTATCTGTGAACTTCTCATCACCTAAAGTTACTTGACAAAACATGTATTCAAGTAAAGAACTTAATTTGTAAAAAGCACCCGATTAGTGCTAACTTCTGAGAATTTTATTTTGCGCACCTATTGATCACAGCGTAACAGCCATAACTGTATCTCTAGGGAATTTTTTAGTGGGGTGGGGGGGAATGAAAGCTGTTTCAGCGCACACAGAAGGCATGCCCATTTGTGTAAACAAACACAACAGGACACACTCTTGTTTACAAGATTAATTAGAACACTACAATCCTAAGTAGAACACTACAATCCTAATTAGAACACTACAATCCTAATTAGAATACTACTCTGAATCCGTTGTTAAAATTCTCAGTGACGCATGGGCTTGTAGAATGATTGCAAAAAAAAAAAAAAAAAAAAAAAAAAAAAAAAAAAACGGAAATAGTCTCGTGGGGGCATTAGAATATTAGTATAGTTCAGGGGCATGACAAAATGTGTGCGGCTAGAAACCTGGTTTGGGAGGTGTGGGGACTAATTGGGCATTTTATAAAGTGGGTTGTTTACAACAGTGTTTACCAATAAAGCATGTTAGACTCTCTCCTGATATTTTCTCGAATGTGCTCGATAACCCGAGAAATGTAAACAACACGTCCTAAGTCTTTTCTGGAAGGCAGGGCTTATGCGACATATATAAGGGATTGACAGGCACGGACGGAGAGACGGAGAATCAGATAGATAATTATTAACTTCACGAGACGTGTATTGTGTATTTGTGTATTTATGTGTTTATTTCATCATTATTAATTGGCACATTGTATTGACTGTTTACCGGTACGAGATCTACCATACTGTAAGTTGATGATTTATAATTATATTTATTTTGTTTTGATAGTGTATTAATACTTAATAAATATTAATTAATTGTAACTGGCAACTGTTTTGGGTGTCGTATCTTTAATATTGTTTTATGTTATCATCCTTTGTTAGGCACTGTTTACAACGAGCCAATAAAACTAAAATAGGAGATTAATTTCTCATATTAGAAGCCAGTGCGTAACAGTGTGTTTAGTCAAGTAACTAAATTAACTGGGAACTTAACGCCTTTTCGGCTGCCATTGTTTGACGGGCTTCGGCTAATTTAATTTTATATACATTCTTAAACGATTGATTTGATGTTGAATATCACCAACTGGTGCTAACACTTGTATCTTTCAATGACGTTTGATTATTGTGTTGACATCGACATCATTATTTCTTTAAACAGTAAGTATAGCAAAAGTTGGTGATATCTCCGTATTGATTTTATTAGTTGTTTGGTAGGTTTGATGACGCATTATTTTTGTGTTCCTCGTATGCGTAGGAGATAATATTTTTTTTTTAAAAGGAGCACCCGGAATCAGTGGCGAAAAATGAAGGTTTGTTTGGGGCAATAGGGGTGGGGGGGGGTCCACTTTTGACGGCACTTTTTTAAAACTTTCTATTGAGGAGCGACATTTTCGTCCAAATACAACCCCCTCCACCCCCACCCAAAAAAAATCGTGGGGAAAATCCTGGTTTTCCCCGAGTTCCACTAACCCTAGCTACGCCACTGACGGGAATACAAATTTGAATGGATAGATGACAATTTGAAAAGGCAAGGGTGAAAACTTCTGAGAGGCAGCTTAAAGGATAACTTAAAGAGGGGATTTTGTTTCCCGCGTGGGGAACATTAAACCTTAATACTTGACTACCTCTATACTCTTTTTATTTAGGCTATGACTATTTGTTAACCACCAATATACACTTCCTTTTTTCTTTTTTTTTTTTTTTACCTCAAAAATGTCAAGATCATTTATTATTTGTAATCATATTTTTTTAAACATTGGAATATTTTTTTTTCTTTTTTTACTTTTTTATACCGGTAGTATCTATTTTACTTTTTTTT